TTTCAAACTTTTCAATCTATGTTTCTATTGCTCCTTATTTTGCATCAAAGGTCCACATCGTGACAAAAAGAATGTCGCGAAGTTGCATGAAAAAAAGGTAGGACCACATGCGAGGGTTAATTAAAAAGAGTGGGTCAATCACGTTGTTAATTGGTCCTCGTCATGCCCAAAGGGAAATCAAAACAACTCATCTCGGCATAAATGTCTTCCGTGAACGGTCAATGAAACACAGATTTTCATTTTTAACTTAAACCAATGTTATTACTACCAATTATTTATTTATAATGTGAATTGATTATATTTAGTCATATAAATGATATGGATTCATTTCAGGCAGGATATAAGGCCCAATCCGCCCATGAAGAGGCCAAAGGGCCCAATGACTAAGATTTTTAGGCTAAGGAAATATTGTCATCCTACATAGTACACTGACAATCTCATAGTACTTTGACACATGACATCAGTAGCTCAGTTCATTGCGCAATTCAGGATTCTATTGCTATCCTAATAGCCAATGGCTAAAGAACAAACACTCGATTCCAACTGTGCCTATTGTGCACCAATGAGATCAAGTGATACTAGGACGGTATAAGCAAGACACTCAACTATTATATAATCAGAGGGTTAAAGCCCATCTATAGTCATCTTCCCCAATTCAACTAAAACTTATCATTCACATACTAACATTGAGCGTCAGAGTACCTTACATGTGCCTCCCCCCAAGTCACCCCAAACTATTCATAAATCTTGTCACATGATCACATCTATCTCGCGGAGTATCCCTCGAAAACTTCTTATTATAGTACCAACTCCAGCAAAGACCCACGCAACTAGTAAATTAGTCGCAACTGTGTGCGATCCAGTCCAATTGTTGTTGGACCAATCAATAATAATTTATTTGAGTTCAAACTTAATCAATCATTATTTTCATTGTTCGTAATTTTTTAAGAATAATTGAATAATTATTACAATTAAAATATCATATAGGATAAACAAAGTTATAAAAGACCGAGTCGTTGTAAAAGTGAGTAAATCGAGTCACCGGATCGTCCATTACATTAATTGTTTGTCAAATTACAGCAGAAAAAAATCAATGACTTGCTTTTCGGTTTGATAAAACTATCTAATTTTTTGTATATTACTTTGGTATAAATCGAATATATAGATTTTTTTATTTTTACATTAATTTAATCGGTATATTATTGAGTTTGACTAAATACAGTAAATACGCACTGCTAGACATTGTCCAATAAGCGAGATCAATGGACGTTTTTCAATTTTTTTAATTAAAGTTAATGAGAAGATCAGGGTATTATATTTTAAAGTTAGCATTACAAGTATGAACGAGGACTTACAATTATATGTAGATATTACTAGTATATCAATCCATTTCAAGAGAAAGAACTCCTATATTGCTCGAATGTGGCAAATATAATGAGCGTCTTAGTAAGCAGAATACTGTTATGTTTTTACTAAACAAAAAAAAGCAAACATAATCCAAATCTTACTCTAAATCTTTTATTTCGGAAGCAGGAATCAATTTTTACATTATGAACACGATGAATGAAAGTGAATGATGTGTGGCGATGGTAGTCTTGAGTTCGTAACTGAATGGTTAATGGATATGTTACATAAATCTTTTCACACTGAGTACATTATTCTTTGAAAATGATCATATGTGATTTTTAAGGACTAATTAATGTGGAGTTTTTATAATCTCACAAATTAATATGTTTGGTAAAATGTACTCTTTTACGTTCATATATCTAAATTAATATATGTTTAAAATAAGGGATAAGATATTGTGACACCCAAGTTATGTTACACCTATGTGACACCCAGTCAATCTCACCGTTAGATCGCTTATGTTGATCCAACAGTTATATTTATTTCCATCTTTGTATAGTCATGATTTCCCAAATTTAAAGTGAAAGCATTAAATATGGGAAATCATAACCATACAAAGGTAGAAATAAATATAAAATATTAAATTTGAAAAATCATGACCATACAAAGATGGAAATAAATATAATCGTTGGATCAACATAAGCGATCTAACGGTGAGATTGACTGGGTGTCACATAAGTGTAACATAACTTGAGTGTCACAATATCTTATCCCTTAAAATAAATAGTGAAATCTTTCTTACAACAGGATGTGTTAACTATACTCTAGAATCTTATTTTCCAAAAAAAATAAAAAAATAAAAACCACTATACTCTAGAATCATGCACTAATTTGTGGGTCAAAATCAAAAGGCAAACACGTTGAAAAGCAAGGCCTAGAACCGCTGAACCGGTCATGGGCGAACGAGAGACCATTGACTCGTGGACCCTACCATCATCATCCACGTGGACGGTTATAGATGAGAGAACTCCGCGTATGTGATAACAAACATCGTCGCCCACAGCACGATCTCTCTCTTCACTTTACGATGAATCGATTAAGGTTAATAATATTGTTAACCACATTCGTGGAAATAAATGGATAATAATGAGCATGTAGATCTTATACATAAACATTGTATATATATGAGTCTAGATTTTCTTTTTGGTTGTAGTCAGTGGAAAGGAAATTTAACATAATAAAAATGGGACCTGAACACATAGCCTAATATAACCTACTCAAATTCCTTACTACTAGATCAATCCTAATGGTTTGAAATTTAAACTTATTAGTTCATAGCAGGGGAATCTAAATCTTAGATTCTAAATTTAAACCTTATTGTTAAAGAGGTTTAATAGTTTTAATTTTTAATATATATTTTTTTAAGGGTGTTAATTGTTAAAGGTTGTTTCTCTTTTTTTTTTTTCTTTTTTCTTTTTGGATGTTAAAGAATGATTTAAGTACTCATAACTGGGGTTTTCATCCCCAGTTCACCAAAAAAAAAAAAAAAACTCATAACTACCTCTTCATCAGTATTTTAACGAGTTTTTTTTTTTTTTTGTGGACAATCTTTTAAAGTTTTTATTGATTATTACTTGTTTTATTTAAATTGATAGTAATAAAATTATATATAATATATATTAATGGCAAAGAAATTATATATTCACGCGAAATCAAAGTGAAATTGTCCAATGATGGAAAATTGAATTCACATTTGATTCTTTTAATGATTTTTTTTTTTACATTATTATTTAGCAATGCATTAGCATATTATGAAAATACACTTTTTTTTTTGGTAAATGAAAATACACTTTTTAAGTAATAGTTATCATAGTCAAATTTTTTAATAACTTAATAATACATGATTGAATAAGAATATAAATAAGTTTATACTTAGTGACTCAAAATTAAAATCCTTCTAAATGTTTATTATATTTTGTTAAGAAAAATGAAAGAGCTACAAAAAAAATGAATTTCTTCTAAAAGGTTAAAAAATGTTTAATACGTATTTATATAGATAAGAAAACAATAACTATTAACTTATCATATATACATCTATACCTCATTAAATAATTCAAATAACTAACAAAACTATATAACTAGACTATGATAATATTATGTAAAATTACAATTATAAAAATACATTTATTATAATCATCAAATAAAAAAAAATTACATGGACAAAAAAACAGAGAGAAATACTTTTTCTCCCAACTTTTGGATTTTCGAAATCAATGCAAAAGTAAGATAATCTAGGGGTTACATCCTGGGTATTACAGTTGCGAAGCCTTTCTATGTCACCCTCCCACGAGCGGATATAAAGAAAGCGCAGAAAGCATTACACAAAACACAAGAATTAACTAAAGCAAAATAAAGAAACTTTAGAAAACCAAAAATAATTAAATGTCTGATTCTGTACGTAGGCATAACTTTTCTGCTTAGAATTATAAAATAACAATAATAACCATGCAATTGATTTTATATTTGTGCTAATTAAAATTGCTATACTATAGGTAATTATAATTAAAAAATAAAATACGAAAAAAATGATATACATAATATAATTAGAGTTTATTGTTTCTCAAGATATAAAATTATCTCAAATAATCCAAAATTACGTTATTTCTAAAGTTGAAGGAATCAATAAAGTATATTTTAGAAATTTTGAGATTGCACAAGATAAAAGGAATGTAGTTTATTATACAGAAAAATATTTCTGCAGTTACTGCAGATAAGTTATCTGCATTTATCCTCAAAACGACGTCGTTCTAGAATTGAAATATTAAAAAATTATAATTATAAAATTTATAATAATCCTAAAATAAATTAAAATTACAAAAATACCATAATTTTCTTTTTAAAATGACGTTGTATTGAACTTATTACATACAACTTATCTGTAGTAATTAATAGAAAAAATGAATAACACGGAATAATGGATGAGAACTATTATTTTATTTCTATCTTTTTTTTTTTTTCATGCGTATTCCCATTATAAAAGTAGAAAAAATAAACTAAAGGTTTGCATCTAATAGAGGATAAATAAACAAACCGCTGGGTGAGACTTTTCATGTCAGCATGACGAAACGTTGACGCAATGGGAACGCCAATAAATAAAGATTAATTGAAGAGAGAGAGAGAGACACACACCGCGTAGAAAGATGAGCCTCATATCGTTCAATTTTTTTTTTTTAAAAAAAAAAAGAAAAAGAAAAAAGAGAGAGAAAAAGAAGAAGAAAAATTCGATTTTTTAAGAATTGCACAAATAACGCATATTCATGGACTTTGTCGATGAAACGTCTATTTTCGCTTTAAGAATTGTATCTAATATTTTTATTTATTTATTTATTATTATTATTATTACTGTTATGTACGAGAGAAGAATAATATATATAGCTTTCATTTCAATTTGTTTTATTAAATTTCTTATATGAAATGTAGAAACCCTTTCTCATCGACACCTAAGCAAAAAGAAAATCTCTTTCACTTTTTTATTTCCCCCTTCTTTATTACGCGATTCACACCTTCTGTTCACACCACACCCCCACCTACATATATATTCTCCCTTTCTTTTTCTCTCTCATCTTTGGTTTTCTCTCTCCTCCATAACCAAAAACACCTCAACTTTTTCTATACCATAACTCAGAGCTTCTTCTTCTTCTTCTTCTTCTTTTCTTTTTGGATTTGAGGATCTCACTATAACTTTTGGTTTTTCGTTTTTTTTGATTTTAATGGAGGGTCATCATCATCTCCATCAACAACAACATCATCATCAAAGGCAACAACAACATCATCATCAACAACAACAACAACAACAACATCCTCATAACATCACAAGTGTTAACGTGGATGTCACAGACAAGTTCCCTCAATGGAGCATCCAAGAGACAAAAGAGTTCCTCATGATTCGAGCAGAGTTGGATCAAACTTTCATGGAGACAAAGAGGAACAAACAGCTTTGGGAAGTTATCTCCAATAGGATGAAGGAAAAGGGTTATCATAGAAGTTCAGAACAGTGCAAGTGCAAGTGGAAAAACCTCGCTACCCGCTATAAGGTATTTTTATTAAGATATACATATAAAAAATTAATATTATATAAAGATAACCATATTTTGTTATTATTAATTTTTTTTTTTTTTTTGGCTTTTTCCACCGGCTAAGAGTTAAACTTTTCTCTCTCATGATAAGGATGGAAATTTTTTACAATTTTTGTTTAATATATATACACTTTAATAAAAAGTATATATATTTTGGATAAAAATTGGTGTGAATTTCTGATGTAGTTTAATATTATGAGCTTTTCATGGTTTAACCTTCTTATATAGTAATAGTGTTACTTTTTTTTTGTTTTTGAGATTTAAAGGGATGTGAAACAATGGAGCAAGAAGCTTATAAGCAGCAATTTCCATTTTACAATGAACTTCAAGCGATTTTCACTGCAAGGATGCAGAGAATGCTGTGGGCTGAAGCAGAAGGAGGGTCGAAGAAGAAGGGTACTATGCAGCTCTCATCTGAGGATGAAGAAGATTGCAATATTAATGAAGATAGTCAAGGAGATATTCAAAAGGGTAATAATGGAAGAAAGAAGAGAAAGGGTAAGATGGTTATTGGTGGAGGAAGTGGTAATAGTGGTAGCAACATGAACAACTTGAAGGAGATTCTAGAAGATTTCATGAGGCAACAAATGCAAATGGAAGCTCAATGGATGGAAGCATTTGAGGCAAGAGAGAATGAGAGGAGGTTGAAGGAGATGGAGTGGAGACAAACCATGGAAGCATTAGAGAATGAGAGGATAATGATGGATCAAAGATGGAGGGAAAGTGAAGAACAAAGAAGGGTTAGAGAAGAAGCTAGGGCTGACAAAAGAGATGCTTTGATCACTGCTCTGTTGAATAAGCTCACAAGAGAACAAGAGATGTAGTTTTGTTTGGCTAGCTATGCTAACTTTTATATGTGTTTCTTTCTTCTCATCAAGCAAAGCTTAATTTGAAAAGGTTTGATCTATGAACTCTCAATTTCTTATCTTGGAGATTAACTTTATGGTTCTTGTGGTCTTATCATGTTAATTATGGTATATCCTCTTCCTGTTAATTTTATATATACCTATTGAGGCTTTCTATAGCCAAAGCAATGAAATCAAAACAAAAAAAATTAAAAAAATTAGCTTCTAGTATTTGTTTTTCTCTCTCATTTTTTTTAGTTGGCACTCAGCAAGTAATTATGCTTTTGGTCATGCAACTCTGTACTTATCATTGAGAGTGGACCAATTAATTAATGTTTCATATATATCATAATATCATAGAGATTCTTCGAGTAGTAGGTATAGATAGAGAGAGATATAAAAAGAGAGAGATCACAATTTACAGGATCTAACTAACAACAGAAAACGGGTAAAAGATCCACAAGATATTGCTAATGATTATGTCTATCTATTTAGAAAGACGCACAATTTCAAGGTTAATGGGTCATTTGCGTCCAAAGTGACGTTACTTTTACTTTTGATTATAAACAGAAAAGAAAAAAGAGGAATTTGTTATGTATATATATGCATGATGCTACTTTTTCATACTTCTGTAGATATATACTTTGGATCAGAAGCTAAAGTAGGGTTTTCAATTCAGTGATTAATTGTTTATGTACATAGTTCAAGTTCATGTTCTTAAGCTCACGTCATACTAGAATGAGATGGTATTAGAATAGGTGTGAAGAAAACAAAATGAAATTAGATTAGATAATGAAATTTTACAAAGATAAAGGGATCGATATGTGCATAAATATGTATATTTCAATTATTTCCCTAAATATATATTGGGAGTAGCAGAAATGAAAATATTAATGTGGATGTTTGGTTGTACAAGGATTGATATGATAATAAATGAATTAGAGAGTAGAGAAAATGAGGATCTTAATATGGAAATAATGATTGGTATGATAACAGATGAATTTATTCCACAAAAAATTGGTTAGTACCAACGGAAGAAAAGATGAAGAACATAGATTCAGATGTTTGACCTTGTTCTTTAAAACACATAGACGCTCCGGTAAGAAAATAAAAGTATCTAGAGCATGTCATAACGAAAGGAAGAGAACAGCCAGAATTTTACACAGGGAAATTAGGAAAACAAACTTAATAGAGTATAAAATAGATTAATTGGTGTGCGGTAAAGGACAGCCAGTAACATTATAAATGGATAGAATTTGTGCTATTAACTTTTTTCTTTTTTTCTCTCTTAATATGATTTTATTTATTTATTTATTTTTAAATTTGTACTTGCTTTTATATGTATTTATCGAGTGCACTCTAACTAATCTAAGATAAAGAAAATTTTATTATTTTTGTTATTCTTTCTAAAAACTTGATTATATGAATAGATAGTGCCTATATTAGCTGCCTTATCTTTCCCATAAATGTAAAATTGAATTTGAAATTTGAAATTCAAATTTTAATATGCACAAAATTTGAAGTTATTTTCCATAATTAGGAGTTATTATGTGAAAATGAATTTAAAATTTAAAATTTCAATTTCAATAATTAGGAGTTATTCTCCATAATTAAGAGTTATTGTGAGAATAATTAGATTGCTATAAATTAGATAGTTTTCTGTGTGTTGATATAAGCTATATAAAGGCATTGTATGTATCAATGAAAAATTTCTCCCATTCCATTTTCTTATTCGCCTATAATTGGATGTACTTAAAAAAAGTTAATTAGTTTACCTTTTCAGTTGATTCATGATCTCTAAGTTATGGATGAATGTAAAAGCTTAATTTGAATGCCTATGAGGTTTTTGATAGCTAGCTGGTTTCGTTTTTGCATGGAAGATCAGTTGGTATTCCAAATGATTATCGACAATGACTGTGCATGTGAGAGACCTCATCATATTAGGAGCTGAAAATTTTTTCAGCCAAAGGTATGGAATTATATATGACTTAGTAGTAACACATTATTAATTTTTTGGATGGTTGTAGTAACAGTGTAACACATTATTAAAGCCTTGTCTTATGCAATAAAGTGATTTTTTTTCAATTGAAAATACAATTAAAAAAAGAAAAAGAAATGTAGGAACATAATAAAGATCGACCATAGAAAAGAAATATTTTATGTTAAAAAGAAGGAGAATGTTATACTTACCACCATTTTAGACTTACCACTTTTACTGCCTGTTTGGTTACCATTGGATTAATTTGAAATCAATGGTTGAAAAAGAGAAAGTTCACAATTGTAATTTTTTATGACATCCTCATATACAGTGTAAATTTGGAGGCTCACAATACACCAGTAGGATGTCATGCAGGTATTACCAGAACACTACTTCGCTTGCCAGCCTCTTTTTATTGGGATAAAATATGTAAAGATGTCATTGATTTGTTCGAAATTGTGCTATCTACCAATATGTCAAAACTGCTACTACAGCTCCATCGGGACTATTGTGTCCCCTCCCTATTCCAGAAGGAGTTTTTGAGGACCTTATACTCTCGACCTCATCACAGGGTTAACAATCTCTCAAGGGTTTTCGGTTATCCTTGTGGTAGTTGACTGGCTAACTAAGTTCGTGTAGGAGCAATTGCATCATACGGAAGCGTTAAGACCATTGTGGTATGGATGTAAAGGATCATCATGGTTTTATCATTTACCTCTTGGATGGCGCAGATCTCTGAGATGCTCCACACTCCTTGTTTCTTTGCGTGACTTTGCGAACTCACAAACTGTTGCGTCACAGCACGAACTGGTGTTCTGGCAAACCTTCCAAACTATCTCTCGAGGAGGAAGGGGAAGTGTGTGGGCACTAATAAGATCTGAGCTTGACTCTTTCTCACAAAATGACCTCTGAGGCTAATGACTTAAGTGGTAGTATTTATTGGGTTTCAAGAAACCCTAGCTCTAAGCTCATTAGGCTTGGGCTCTTCGCACACTAATAGCCCAATTGGACTTTAGTAAAAGAGCACAAACCCAACAGTTCGCTCATTTTGGAGCACTTCTGACCATTATACTGCAGCTTCGGTGGCCACATTATTTTGTGATATGGTTGTTAAATTGCATGGTTTTCCCAAAAGTTTGGTTTCATATTGTGATAGTGTGTTTCTGAGTTAACTTTACACTCATTTATTCAAACTAGGTGGCATTACATTGCGTACTAGCACTACTTACGATCAACAATGAATGGTCACTCCGAGGTAATTAATCGATACTTAGAACAATATATTAGAGCCTTTTATCATGATGAGAATCATAAATGGTCAAGTTATTTGGGATATGCTAAATTGCATTATAACACGTCCATCCATTCATCAATTGGGATGAGCCCTTTTCAAGCTTTATATTGCAAGGCTCCCTTGATGATTCCTCATTATCCTCGTGGTATGGTTCATGGGGAAGCAGTAGATGAAATCGTCAGCTATAAGAGTTAGCTTTTATCTTAGTTGAAGGCTCACGTACATGCTACTAGAAATCGTATGAAGATGTTGGTGGATAGACATCGAAGGGATGTCACCTTTGCTGTGGAAGACCACGTTTTGGTCAAACCCCAACCTATAGAAAAATTTTAGTCCCTAAGAGGAGCAACCAGAAGTTAGCAAACTGGTATTTTGGGCCATTTCAGGTGAAGCGAGTTTTGAGTCCGGTTGTGCTTATCTCATGGAACTTCTTATGGGATGTCAAATTCATTTCTCTTTTCATGTTTTGGTTCTTAAGCAATATCAAGGTGAAGTTCAAGGAGTTGTGCCCAACTTGCCCAATGTTAACCATGATAATTTTCCTCTTCATACACCAATGGCAGCCTTGATGCCTCGTGTAGCTATGCATAAAGGAAGTTCACATCCCGTGTAGTTACGCATAAAGGAAGGTCACAACGCCAATGGTTGATTCAATGGTCTAACTCGTTGCTAAAGGGTCCTTCATGGGAGTTAGAGGATGATTTGAGTACCTACTACCCCACGTTGAACCTTGAGGACAAGGTTCACATTAGATGGAGGGACGGATGTTGCGATCAGGAAATCTGAAAGGAACCAAATAAATAGTAGCTCAGTTGGCTCATGGGAGCTGAGCAGACGTGGATGACATCATGTGTTTGATCCTCCTCAAAACCATCTTTGAGGAGGGTTTAAAACCTTAATCTTAGCCCCGCTCGGAACAAGATTGTCTCCCATAAAAGATACATGTGGTTTATCTATAAAAACAAAAAAACAAAATGTGAAAGGAAGGCAAGTGTGCTGCTGTGAGTGAAGAAATATTCAGTCAAAATGTAGTCATGTGCATGAAGTGCATTTATATATAATTTAGCTCTTGTATATAGTTCAATTGCATTAGATTAGGGTAGTTGGTTAGGGTTATTGTATATTAGTTACGTACAAGTTTATGGTAATTATTATGGACTCATATGTGAGGCCTATTTATTATAAGGCCCAATAAGGGGCAATCCAAATATGAATCTGATATGATCAAAAGAGGATATCCATCAAAGATATTAATACTAACACGATAACATTAAATATGGGCTTGCGCTGCTAGAAGAGGCACAGAAGGTCCAAAATCCTAATACCCATAGGTAAACTCTATAAATAAGAGGTAAAGCATACAGGTATTTACCTACAGGTATGATTATTCTCTATCTATTACTGTTATGTTTTCACTGTGCACACAGACCACCCCTTTGGCGAAACCTGTCTTTTATTCCTTTGTGCACAGTGATATGCTAAACTCAAAGATATCTAACTCATAGATACCTTATAGAGAGCACCTAAATTCAAAAGAAACTTACTAACCTATTGGGCTAGACCAAGGTAGTCAAAATCGAGATTTTACCTAAAATTGAAAAGGGAATAAAAAATCGTAAATCGTAAAATCGTAATAAAAATCGTAGATTTTACCTGCACCTTAAAATTAAATTTTTATATACATAAGCATATGTATAAAAAAAGTTA